AAAGCAAGAGCATTTTCATGAAGGTTGGTAAAGATATTCAAGATGAAGTCTAAGAGTTCAGTCAGAGATCATAGACATTGACATTTATAAGTATACCTATTATTTTGAAATCAATGAAAACAATTGCCATTGTATCCAATTTCTTCTTCAAAATTGCTTTGCTTTGACTGTTTATAAGATCCAAGGCTTAATTTTACCAAGAGTATCTTTAGCTTTAGATAGTAACATCTTTTCATCTGGTTAAGCTTATGTTACTCTAAGTTGATGTTCTACTTGGAATAATGTTAAAATTTCTCACCTAAACAGGTTTGCCTTCATATCAAATCAAGATGTCATGTTAGAATATCAAAGATTATCAAATATTTCTAATATAAACCCTCATTTATTTACATAAATATTCTATATTTACTTTCTTTTTAACCTATATATTTCTTATATTCTTAAAAATTCAATTCAATTTTTAAAAAAAAAATTTCAATTGTATTTTTCAAAAAAATTTTATTTAATATACTTTAAAAATTTTTTACATTATTTATTAAATAAGATAAATAAAATACTTCAAATTTTATAAATCTTATTAATAAAAAATTATCAATATAACTATTTGTTATACTAGTCGTACAGTAAATCAATGCATTTGATCAGTGATCATATGTATTTTCTTTCACTATATATATCAGATTAGTATTCAGTAAGTATTGAATAATAAGTATTGACTAATTTTACTTTTAATTTTATTTATTATCTTTAATTTATAATATTATAACATAAAATTAATAAACTTATAACAGTTTTACATCAAAAAAAAAAAATTGATATAATTATTAATAAAAATGGTAAAGATATATTTTTTATAAGATTTATATATCATATTTTAGATTATAAACATATAAATATTATTAAAAAAATCCTAATGCAATTTATAAAAGTTAAAAAAAAATTAAAAAAGGTTTGATCAATATTTGTTGTATTATTCATACATTTAAATTTTTTTTTAGAAGTCAAATGATTCTATTTTATTCCTTTAACTAAAAAAATTGAAATTCAGTTTAACAAAAATGAATCACCTGATTACAAGTCTTTAAAAATAAATCATTAGATAACAATGAACTAACATCACTTTCGATTCCATCTGATCAAAATCATTACTAGAATCTAATAAGAGATCGCAATATTCATTAATACAATAAGGCTTGATATATCACAAATCTTGTTATATTTTCTTATAACCTATAAATTAAAACTATTCAATGATATCTTGAATACATTACTTACATCCTTTAACTCGTTTTCCATTTTCCATTTTTCTTCAATAATAATAAAGCATAAAGAAATACTTTAACTTATAGAAAACTTTTACAAATATATTTCTTTAAAAGAGTATTCTCTATAACCATTTTATAATATTACGACTATTTCTCGATACTAATTTATTTTTGACTTGTATCTCAAGAACTCTATAATAATAATAAAAATAAAAAAAAAGGCAGAATATTAATTCTTAATACTTGTATAGTATCGTTCCGAATAGTTTAAAATAATTACCTGCATTAAACAGAGCATTTCTTGCATCTTGTGAAATAACTCTCACTTTTCTTGCAGTAAATTCGACAGCTTCCTTGCAAATAGATCAATATTTTCAAGCTGAGATTTCAAAATAATAAAGGTATTCATGAGTATACCGGTTCAACATTCGTCAAAGCAATCAAAACGAATCTAGAATTTGGTAAAGCTGTCCATTCCAAAATATTACTAAAATACAATATTTTTTTTTTTTTTTTGGTGATAATTGAAATTCATTACAAAAAAATAAAAAAAAAGATAGAATAATGTCGCGTTAATAAATAAATGTTAAGAACAATATACCATTAAAAAAAAATTTACTAACATTAAAACTCGTTGATCTTTATCATAAAATATAAGATTCTGCGTCTTTATAAGAAATTAGATCACCAATTAAACCCTCCCAATAAGACACTATATATACTTTATCGTGAGGCTTAACTTTCATTCCATTAATTTCAACGAATTCAAAAGAATTCAATTCCTATTTTGATTAAACAAAATCAATTCAACTGATTTAACAAGTTTCCTAACGAAAAAAAATAAACTCACCGGTTTAAAATCTTTTCAGTACAAGGTTGACCATATATAAAAATACGACATCCTTTGAATTCATCAATTGGTTCTTTAATTTTATCATAAATTTGACCATATTCTTTTTCATAAGGAAACTTTCAAGTATTAATTTCTCTCTTGCAATATCATATCTTGATAAAGGTTTACTTGTAGGTTTAATCCGATTATTAATATTTGATGATAAACAACCCGACACTTTCCTATTTCACGTGTTTAAAGAGTTATTATATATAATATAATGATAGATAGAAAGCAAAAATTTACCTTATGGAAGGTGATGTAACAATTTGTATAAGAGCTTGTAAATCCGGTATTTTGTTCTTTTTCACACGGTAACATCATACGTTTTGGCATCAGTGTCTTCAGTACATGCGTTTTTGGTATAATATCTTCAACTCATTTTATGTTCTTATACGCTTTGAAGTGTTAAGTGTAGCGTTTGATTTCATTTGCCCACTGCTTATAAGTTAATTTCTTATTATCAAAAAAAAAAAACACGCATAAGCATATTAGGAGACG